ACATTTGTGTTAATGATTCTTTCCGTATCCGTTTGGCCTCACCAACAGTTTTGTCCCCACCAACCCAATGTTCTGGATCCTTTGAGAAAATTCACATGCATTTTTAACGGTATTCGAGAGTCCATGGGCTGTCGGTGGTCTTGCGTTATTTTTTATTAAAAATTTCATCCTCCATATGTCAATTTCCCCATTATTATGCATTTCCTTGAGCATATTCTTCAGTGTCCCGTTGATCTTCATGGTTGGGTCTCCAACTGTCAGGAGACTATACAGAAAGAATTCATTTGGGGTAATGGAACGTCAAGGTGATTACAAAGGAGAAGACGACGCTTTCCACCACTCTGCCGACGCAACAAGAGAAGACTGACAAACTTGATTACTCAAGAGTTTATCGCATCAAATGCGGCAACTGTGAGAAGAAGTATATCGGGGAAACAGGAAGAACAATTGGCCTACGAATCAAGGAACATCAAAGTCTGCAGGAACATGGATACGGAAAGATACCAAATACTTTATTTTTCGAGTAAAGTAGTCGATCGTTATAGCAAATATATGTTGCCTTATTGACAATCCCACCTAAAGAATATGATATGGCAAAAAAGGGCCTGGCCTCCTTTGGAAATTCACATTTTTCCTGTGATCCAAAAAAGCGCTCGTGGCAGTGTAGTCGAGTGGTTAGTGTGTCAAGCTCCCATCCTGTATTGTCTTGGTTCGACTCCCGCTGAGGGTGTTTATAAGACCGATGCGAGGTCGAAACTGCAGTCCACTGGTGCCTGGATGAGAACAACTTTTGGGAAACAAGACCACGTGAAATTGAATGGAAACGTCAGCTCAACTCTTATCATTGTGGGAAAATTCTTCTTCTTCCAGTCCTTCATCACCTTAAACAAAATAGGGTGAATACATCTCATTACACTGATTTACTGGTAGTCACGAAAACAATACTTTATTCGAAAAATAAGGTAGTATCCTTAATTTTAGGAAAATAAATCGTAGGGGGACGAGAACGAAACAATCAGAAGCCAAGAGGAAACGTTTTCAGGGGGCCTAATTAAAACAAGTAGAACTACAACATTTGTGGGTTGGCACCCAAGAGACTAGGAAATCGGTGAATAGCCCATGGCAAAAGGAGAGATAGCACGATTGTTTAGCAGACAATTGGTCAAAGGATCGGCTTCACATGTCTCTATGACGAGTTCTAGCGTCCTGATTAGATTGGCAAGACTCACTGACGATGCCGGCAAACGTCTGAGAATGTACCACGTCCACGGTCCGACTCTTGAGATTTGCATGCATACAATCGACTCCGGATTAGGTGCGTTCCTCTCGAGCTTCCTGCCAATATGACAAAGTTCCGAGAACAAGGTCAAACAACTTCTAAAGCTTTTCGTTTAAGCATCTCATATAACTTCTAAAGTATTTTTTTTCATAATACAATACAAGTTTGCCTTATCGACACTTTCACTTTGGTCTGATGTGACGTTGTAGAGATCTGGCATCCCTTAAAACTCATCTTTTGTCTTTTATCCACCGACACTCACCAAAATTGTGCGTTGCACCACAGGGTTCGAGTCTCGTTATGGTTGTTGGGTTGATCGATCGCGGTCGAAACCGCAAATACTTTTCCCAAATTCTACTCATAACACTGGGAAAATTCAATTCTCAGACTGCCTTTGCCTTATGCGGCCTAGGGTGACTGAAAATTTTATTGAAACTTTTTTATTTCATCATCAAAGCAGAGTGCCATATTTGCAACCAATCACTTCAATTGCATCGTATTCTACCACTGTCTTACTTTAACATACCCATGATCTTACCACTTTCGCGAATGGTACCCTTCATAAAAATGCATAGTTTCGGGGCATTCATAGATCATTAAGGGATAAACCGGCGATTCTTTGCATAAATTGGTTTTATGAATGAAGATCTGATCTAATAATGTCGGTGATATAAGAGACGAAAGATTGTCCCGTTTTCACCGGAAACGAGAGTGATTACAGCAAAGTTAACCTACCGTCTTCTGGTGGGATCCACGTTGGAGGGCCTTGATCACACACTTTCCCTCGACGTGGAGGCCCGTAAAGCAAAATTGGCAAAATTGCTTCAACAGCCCTTCAGGCAATCTTCTATTGCCTCATGTGACTGGAGTAGGGTGTGCACACACGCAACCTGACGCCAGTCGGTGCTGATAGCGACTTGTGATTCGGCTCCGGCTCAACTACGGCGTCCGGGCGTTGTGCGACAAAAGAGAATGTGAACAGTCTGACTGGCTTTTTGCGAGGGCGCATTCGGCCCACATGCACGTTTCACACGCACACAAGCCCCACCCAACACTCCGGATGGCCGGGCCAGTCGGGCCAGGACCGAGGGGCGACGGGAGAAGATGAGTTATGACGTAATTGGTGTGGTGGCGTGCCGCTTTGTGAGCAGCGCCCCTTTTGATCTTGTCCACTGACTCTTGCATGGCGGCTATTAAGTCGATGGGAAATGTATCTGAAGCCGCTGCTAATTTGATCGGCCCCGTTGTCCGCCCGTGCAAATGTTTGCCCATGACGCATACACAAGCCCAACACCGGATGTAACGATAGGCGTGCATATGTTCATGTCCAACAGGGGGTTGGTCTATTTGTGTATGCATGATACTGTGGGCTTGTACGGCAACGTGTGCATCGTTGGGAGTGTGAGCTAACGCATTTGACCATTACAATACGATGGGGTATGCGAGTGTGTGTTGACGTTGGTGTTCATGTCTGTGTTCGTGTTGCATGACAACATGTATGCATTTGAATGTGTGTGAATATTTTTCGCTTATAAATAGGTTTTAGAGACCAAAATTAGATCATATAAATATAAATATATATATATATTCACCCTATACCTTTCCCACCACAGATTGTGCCATGCGAAAATGCCCGACCTTCCTGTGACTCCAGGGCATTTGTGGCTGTGTGGCGCTGAACTAAATAAACCCGGGTTCGAGCCCCGCTGAGGGTGCTGATGAGGCTGGTTAAGACAAAGTCAAAATTGCAGTTGCCCCAAGCAGCTATGGGAATACCTTTTGGGAAGCAGGGCTAGATGAAATTCAATGGAAACGTAAGGTCTATCTATCCTTCCTCGCCGTAGCGAACTATGGTGAATACATCTTATATTTATGTGACTCTGTTTGAGAGTGTGTGTGCGCGCGACACTGTTTGATGACGAAGCGAAACGGGAGAATAGAATTCTCACAAAGTCTGGCTGCCGAATGGCCGGACCGATTAAGACAGTGGAGTAGTCGGCTGACATTCCAAATTGTGCTCAGAGAGAGTTTGTACGGTTTTCTGTCCTATGGCAA